TGTCAACTCCTCCACCAGCTTGTGATCAATTGGTATCTACCCTGTGTCCTCTTTGACCAGCTTGTGATCGATTGATATCTACCTTGTCACCTCCTCCACAAGCTTGTGATCGACTGATATCTAACCTATATCCTCCTTTACCAGCTTGTGATCAACTGATATGTACCCTGTCAACTCCTCCACCAGCTTTGGTCAATTGATATCTACCCTGTCTCCGCCTTTTCCAGCTTGCGATCAACTGATATCTACCCTGTGTCTTTTCTCCATGAGGTTGTGACCGACTTATATCTACCTTGTCTCCTCCTCCGCCAGCTTGTTATCAACACATATCTACACTGTGTCTTCCTCCACCTGGTTGTGACCGACAGATACCTACCCTTTCACCTCCTCCACAAGCATGTGATTAACTGATATCTACACTGTGTCCTCCTCCACCAGCATGTGATCGACTTATATTTACCTTGTGTCCTCCTCCACCAGCTTGTGATCAACTGATATCTACCTTGTGTCCTGCTCCACCATCATGTGACCGTCTGATATCTACCCTGTGTCTTCCTCCACCAGCTCGTGATCGACTGTTATTTACCCTGTCACCTCATCCATCAGCTTGTGATCGACTGATATATAACCTATATCCTCCTTTACCAGCTTGTGATCAACTGATATGTAACCTGTCAACTCCTCCACCAGCTTTGCTTAACTGATATCTACCCTGTGTCCTCCTTTACCAGCTTGCGATCAATTGATATCTACCCTGTGTCTTTTCTCCTCGAGGTTGTGACCGACTTATATCTACCCTGTGTCCTCTTCAACCGGCTTGTGATCAACTGATATCTACCGTGTATCTTCCTCCACCAGCTTGTGATCAACTGATATCTACGCTGTGTCTTCCTCCACCAGGTTGTGATCGACTTATATCTACCCCGTCAACTCCCCCACCAGCTTCTGATTGACTGATATCTACCCAGTCACTTTCTCCACCAGCATGTGATCAACTGATATCTACCCTGTGTCTTCATCCACCATCATGTGATCGTCTGATATCTACCCTGTGTCTTCCTCCACCAGCTCTTGATCGACTGATATTTACCCTGTCACCTCCTCCACCAGCATGTGATCAACTGATATCTACCCTGTGTCCTCCTCCACCATCATGTGATCGTCTGATATCTACCCTGTGTCTTCCTCCACCAGCTCTTGATCGACTGATATTTACCCTGTCACCTCCTCCACCAGCTTGTGATCGAATGTTATCTACCTGTTTCTTCCTCTACCAGGTTGTGACCGACTGATATCTACTCTGTCAACTACTCCACCAGCTTCTTATCGTCTGATATCTACCCTGTGTTCTCCTTCACCAGCTTTTGATCAACTGATATCTAACCTGTAACCTCCTCCACCAGCTTTTGATCGACTGATATCTACCCTGTCACCACCTCAGCCAGCTTGTGACTGACTGACATCTACCCTGTCACCTCCTCCGCCAGTATGTGATCGACTGATATCTACACTGTCACTTCCTTCACCAGCTTGTGACCGACTGATATCTACCTTGTCACCTCCTCCGCCCGCTTGTGATCGACTGATATCTACCCTTTGTCTTCCTCCACCAGCTTGTGATCGACTAATATCTACCCTTTGTCTTCCTCCGCCAAATTGTCACCAATTGATAACAACCCTTTGTCTTCCTCCACCAGGTTATGATCGACTGATATCTACCCTGTCACATCCTCCATCAGCTTCTTATCGACTGATATCTACCCTGTCCCCTGCTCCACCAGCTTGTGATCGACTGATATCTACCCTTTGTCTTCCTCCACCAGCTTGTGATCAACTTTTATCTACCCTGTCACCTCCTCCACCAGCTTGTGATCGACTGATATCTACCTGTGTCATCCTTCACCAGCTTGTGATCAACTGATATCTAACCTGTCACCCCCTCCGCCAGCTTGTGATCGACTGATATCTAACCTATATCCTCATTTACCAGCTTGTGATCAACTGATATGTACCCTGTCAACTCCTCCACCAGTTTGTGATCAGTTGATATCTACCCAGTTTCCTCCTTGACCAGCTTGTGATCGATTGATATCTACCTTGTCACCTCCTCCGACAGCTTGTGAATCACTGATATTTACCCTGTCAACTCCTCCACCAGCTTTGGTCAACTGATATCTACCCTGTGTCCTCCTTTACCAGCTTGCGATCAACTGATATCTACCCTGTGTCTTTGCTCCTCGAGGTTGTGACCGACTTATATCTACCCTGTCTCCTCCTCAACCAGCTTGTGATCAACTGATATCTACCCGGTGTCTTCCTCCATCAGCTTGTAAGCGACTGATATCTACCCTGTGTCCTCCTCCACCAGCATATGACCGACTTATATCTACCCTGTCTCCTCCTTGACCAGCTGGTGATCAACTGATATCTACCCTGTCACCTCCTCCGCCAGCTTGTTATCAACTCATATCTACAATGTGTCTTCCTCCACCAGGTTGTGACCGACTTATACCTACCCTGTCACCCTCTCCGCCAGCTTGTTTTGAATTCATATCTACACTGTGTCTTCCTCCACCTGGTTGTGACCGACAGATACCTACCCTTTCACCTCCTCCACCAGCTTGCGATTAACTGATATCTACCCAGTGTGCTCCTCCACAGGCTTGTGATCGACTTATATCTACCCTGTCACCTCCTCCACCAGCTTGTTATTGACTGATATCTACCCTTTGTCCTCCTTGACCAGCATTTGATCAACTGATATCTACCCTCTCACCTCCTCCGCCAGCTTGTTATCGACTGATATCTACCCTGTGTCTTCCTCCACCAGGTTGTGACCTACAGAAATCTACCCTGTTTCTTCCCCCACCAGCTTGTGATCGACTGATATCTACCCTTTGTCCTCCTTGACCATCATGTGGTCAACTAATATCTACCCTGTCACCTCCTCCGCCAGCATGTGATCAACTGATATTTACCGCGTGTCCTCCTTGACCAGCTTGTGATCAACTGATATCTACCCTGTCACCTCCACCGCCAGCTTGTTATCGACTGATATCTACCCTGTGTCTTCCTCCACCAGGTTGTGACCGACTAAAATCTTCCCTGTCACCTCCTTCGCCAGCTTGTGATCAACTGATATCTACCCTGTGTCATCCTTCATCAGCTTGTGGTCAGCTGATATCTACCCTTTCTCTTCTTTCGCATATTTCGTAAACAACCGAATAGCATGTGTCCCAGTTCTGTTTTTACGGCTTAGTATGTTTCAAATATGCTTAAGATCGAATTGAGTTGGTATAATTAACGCCAACACCGTCAGTGTTTGAAACTTCAGTGTTGGCCAGTCTTAAGAATTGTCAGAAACAGATTTCATTCGGAGCTAAGGGGAAAATGACTGTGAAAATTATATGAGTGGACCACTGAAAGTCATTCATCACACAAGTTGTAAGCGATCTCCACAAACCATATGGCACGTCCTGTAAAGACATACTTCAACATTAAACTTCATAGAGTACTTACTTGTTTTTAATCATGAACTCAAACAATTGTAGATACTTGTATCGGTGAGACCGTCCGACAGAGCAAACATAGGTCCTGACCTAACTGTGTCCTGGTCTGCAGGGTGTCCTGGCCTATTTGTGTCCTGGTCTGCAGGGTGTCCTGACATATTTGTGTCCTGGTCTGCAGGGTGTCCTGATATGTGTGTCCTGGTCTGCAGGGTGTCCTAATACGTGTGTCCTGGTCTGCAGGGTGTCCTGATGAGTGTGTCCTGGTCTGCAGGGTGTCCTGGCCTATTTGTGTCCTGGTCTGCAGGGTGTCCTGACATCTGTGTCCTGGTCTGCAGGGTGTCCTGACATTTGTGTCCTGGTCTGCAGGGTGTCCTGACATTTGTGTCCTGGTCTGCAGGGTGTCCTGACATTTGTGTCCTGGTCTGCAGGGTGTCTCTACCTGCTGTCTCCTGGTCCGCGGAAACATAAGTGGCAAATAACCCGTTGCTTCATCACATGCTCAATTACGATGGGAGACACCAATACTAGTGTCATGTGACCAATATTTTGGTAAAATGAAAATTAATGAGAATAATTCATTAACAAAAGTAGCAACATGAGCTCGCCCACCTGAGATAGACACCATAAACACTCCAACACTGATTTTGTGTGGTTCCTTGTGGATTGACCGGTTACATACCCGGAGTTCAGATCTCACATATGGTAACATCTTATATATGTTCTGTTCGCTAAAGCCCGTTGAGAGAGCACAGTTTATAGTAGAAGCTGTGTATCCAGTACAACAAACCAGCGCTACATTTGAGTGATTTATTCAACATCTGACACCACGTGATCAAAACAGAAGTGAAAGAACAGGAAAAACATACGCACAGATGATGAAGCTAATACAGCTAGTCGCGTGTGATGCAAGTTCTACTGCAACGGATTCTACACTGTTGAAGGATGAACCACGGCAAGGTCATGCATGCCGTGTTCTACTGTAACGGAAGCCTACACTGTTGAAGGATGAACCACGGCAAGGTCATGCATGCCGTGTTCTACTGTAACGGAAGCCTACACTGTTGAAGGATGAACCACGGCAAGGTCATGCATGCCGTGTTCTACTGTAACGGAAGCCTACACTGTTGAAGGATGAACCACGGCAAGGTCATGTTCTACTGTAACGGATCCTACACTGTTGAAGGATGAACCACGGCAATGTCATGCATGCCGTGTTCTAAGATAAGTAGATATAGGTTTTCTCCCGTCACGACTGAGATGTGAATGTCGATGAAGAATGGAATCTCATGAAAGCTTTATCACAAGAGGTGGTCCCAGCTTACTTTATTTACCCAAGAGTGTTGTGTATAACATATTTTGATTGTACTTAGTAGTGCATATTGGATTGAGGAACAGTCCTTGACTTTGAATTTCTCACGATCACCCCGTTATGACATGTTTTACCGGGCTTAAAATCCAATTTGAAAGACGACCGATTACAAATGTTTCATCTCCGGGATAAGTTCAGTTAATGTAGTTGATTAACTGTAATGTTAAAACTGTTGTGACTGCGTGTTGTTCCAGTGCTACCCACAATGCTAACCTCCTCCGTCAATCTTTGTCAGGCGGTGTTAATGAAAACAACAAAACGCAAAAAGCATTTTTCTAGTACATCAAACTTTGCAGTTATGAATTGCTAGTTCCAAAGATTATCGGTAACCAGTAGTGTATGAGGTCCCCACAGCAGAGACTAGATGATGCTGGCCATGAAGCCCGACGTCCACGGTTCATCAGGCAGCCATAGGCTAACAGCTATTAGAAATCAGTCGGTGTGTTAGTAATTATCAAATGTCAATCTTTATCGATGCATCGGTTAAATTTCGGCTTCTTTCGTCCCTCAATTAGAAAACCGTCGAAAATGCTTTTCCTTTCTTGATTAATACCTGGAAATATTGTATGATAAGAGTGGGCCTTGTCAAGGATTTTCGAATCGTAATGTGAGCAACGTTGTATAGCTGTCAACTCTACCCAGAATCGTAAGGAGACCAACGGTGTATAGCTGTCAACTCTACCCAGAATCGTAATGAGAGCAACGTTGTATAGCAGTCAACTCTACCCAGAATCGTAATGAGAGCAACGTTGTATAGCTGTCAACTCTACCCAGAATCGTAATGAGAGCAACGGTATATAGCAGTCAACTCTACCCAGAATCGTAATGAGAGCAACGTTGTATAGCTGTCAACTCTACACAGAATCGTAATGTGAGGAACGTTGTATAGCTGTCAACTCTACCCAGAATCGTAATGAGAGCAAAATGGTATAGCAGTCAACTCTACCCAGAATCGTAATGAGAGCAACGGTGTATAGCAGTCAACTGTACCCAGAATCGTAATGAGAGCAAAATGGTATAGCAGTCAACTCTACCCAGAATCGTAATGAGAGCAACGATGTATATCAGTCAACTCTAATCAAAATCGTAATGAGAGCAACGATGTATATCAGTCAACTCTAATCAAAATCGTTATGAGAGCAACGGTGTATAACAGTCAACTCTACCCAGAATCGTAATGATGGCAAATGTGTTCCATAGTTAATTTTACCCTGATTCTTAATGAGAGTAAATGTGTTCCATAGTTAATTTTACCCTGATTCTTAATGAGAGTAAATGTGTTCCATAGTTAATTTTACCCTGATTCTTAATGAGAGTAAATGTGTTCCATAGTTAATTTTACCCTGATTCTTAATGAGACCAAATGTGTTCCATAGTTAATTTTACCCTGATTCTTAATGAGAGTAAATGTGTTCCATAGTTAATTTTACCCTGATTCTTAATGAGAGTAAATGTGTTCCATAGTTAATTTTACCCTGATTCTTAATGAGAGTAAATGTGTTCCATAGTTAAGTTTACCAAGAAGCTCAATGAAAGCCACTTTTTCTCATAGTTAACTTCACTCCGCGTCGAAAACAACAATCTAACTCTACCAAGCACAATAATGAAAGCTTCCTTAAGTCACAATTAACTCAACACAATGTCGTAAAAAACAGTACGGCAGCCACAGCCAGCTAATGACAGCAGCCACGAGAGAATGTAAGTGTCACAGTTAACCTAACCAGCATAATAGTGAGAGAGGGAAATATGTGATCAGTTGCTGCATATGGCTGATGGCATGGCGTATCTGATGAAATATGTTACAGATCAAAGGAAACTCTTTCAACACACTACAAAAACTGACTAAAAGGAAAAGTAATTTACAATTAACAAATCCGTTCTAGGTGTTCACAGCGTTATACACGCTAATGGACAAACACTGTTTAGGGGTCGTTTCAACATCTCTGGAAGGCATAAATAAGTTTAGAAGAATATAGCAATCATCAACGCTCTACATATATACACACATATAATACCTGTACACTGTGTTTCATTATATACATATCATTGACATGACAAAAAAATAAATTTCTTAAATAAATATTATTATACACAAAGAAGATTCTTCTCCACCTAGTTGATGCAGTTCCAGACGATGTTTATACAGTGGTCCATTAGCGTGTATACCAGCACACCAGTGTAATGCACCTGTATCGCAATACGGCATAAAAATACTGTCAGATCCAGCAAAGACACATATGTGCATTGTAACGAGGGTAGTACGATACATGGTACAACCGGAAGTAGCTGACGAAGCACAGAAGCAGTTTACCTCCCAACACTGCAGGTGACAGTGTGCCGCACTCCATCGTTACTTCCTGCCATCCACTGAAGATACATATACACCAATATATACAACACTCAGTATCACATGGAGTAGAAATAGACAATCCTCATCGGAGACCAATATGGCCAACAATGACATGTTGGTTGGCTACGCGGAAGTAATCAGTGGTCTAACGAAATAAGTGATCACCAATTATCGACATCGTAACATGTATATCAACAGTAAGATCACGAGTCATCACTATAGTAACATGTCACTGACAGTAGGACCGTCCGCAACAATAAGTGGGTCACTGTGTTAATGCTAAGCGTTCATTTATAGTACATAGCAGGTGATCGTATAGCCCCAGCTCTCCACACATTGCTGAGAACACAATATCCTCCTGTCACAAAAGTAGTAGTGTTTTTATCACAAGGCTTTAATCCATTTAAAATCCATTCTTCCTCCAGTTTTCTCATTCATTACAGATGTCCAGCTAGCAGTTGATGGTCTTCCTGTCTAACGTCTTTCAGTTTTTAACTACTTGCAAGGGGCGCTGTGCACACGCAACTTGGCAATTAGTCATGAATCCAATCACTCATTATAATGGTTTCCAATCCAAATACTACACTTAATTCACACAAGAGGAATTAATCCTCGCAATGTTGGTTCTTCAATCAAGCGCCATCTTCATGATTTACTGGAACCAGAGTTTTCATTATTTTGTTGTACGTTGTTATTTTTGTTGTTGTTTTTAGCTTCAGACAGACGCCGGTACTGGGACTCGTCCATTTCTGTCTGAAGCTTCTTGGGGTTTTTTGTCCGGCAGCAGAGTTGGGCGAAGCTCTGTCGGAAAACTTTGTTGAATAAGCAGTATATGACGAAGTTGATGGCGGCGTTGAGTGCCAGAAGCGTGTCCGTGAATTCCCGTATTCCTTTCACGAGAGGCCCCGCTTCGTGGTAGCCGAAACCAAACACAGTGGACATAATGGCGTCTGGTGTTATACATACCATAAACACAACTATGACCATAATCATCATCACCGTGACGCGGTGACGGGAGGAGTTACGTTTGTTGGCACGGGTTTTTCTTAACGCACCAATAATGCAAGCATTCAAGGCAACTAGCACAAGGAGGGGGATGATAGAACGCAGGAGATTCTGGGCCCATGTGTAGGCCGACACAAATACTTGGTTGTGATAAAGTTCTGTAAGCTCGACGTGTAGCATGGATTCATTCAAGGACTGGTCGTAACACCACTTGGTCCGATAACGGAAGGCAGATGGAAGAGCGACTACCGTCATGATGATGTATACGACTACGCATGTGACGACAGCGCGGTATCTGCTGCATAACGCCCTGGCGCGTGTTGGGTGACACACAAGAATGTACCTCTCCACAGCTACTGACACAGTCAGCCATGAAGATACACAGACAGACATATTGAAAATGAAATGCGCGTAAGGATATAGATACCCATATGCCCTGTTGCCCATGACGTCATCGGTCTTACTGAATATAGTTACCAGCACGTATAATATATCATTTATGAGCTTGATTGCGTCAGATATTGCCAAAGCACTCAAGAAAGCATTAGTGGATGTGAGCATGTTCCGCTTTGTAAGCACGATGACAGTGAGGATATTACCCAGGAGTCCGGGGATGCACACGGCCGGGTACAGGATCAGTCCCGTGATTAACTGGGCGATTCGGAAGAATTCCTGATTAGTCGTATCGGGTTCTTCCTCCACTGGACAGAACCCAGAAGAATTGTCATTCGTACCATTTCCGGGATCAGATGTAAAATTGAGGACATTGCTCACATTCTGCCAGATTGCGTCTGTGACTCCCATCCCGGCGTCCGCCATAACCACACCTAGATTGCACTCCTGAAAAGCAGGGTTACCTATCACAGGCCACAAGACGGACAAGCAATCATTTCTGGGGTCTCTATCCCACAAGATTACGTTTCAGGCCGAATTCACTCCAAAGCGAAACATGTGTTTACTCGTGGTCATGTGTGTTGTGTAACACTGTGGGGGACGCACTCAGGGCATCAATCTCAGGCCGCATCACCTCCTGTATCTGAAACAAGGAGGAATCAGTATTAACATAACCTTATGGGATTGTTATAAAATTAGTGGGAAACATTCACCATCTGTTTCTGTTGATCGGTTAACATTACATTTCTTTATGAATAAAACATACTGTCACACATACATTAACATAGATGGAAATGACATTGCTCGAAGGTATGCAAGGCCGTCATCTGCTCATGCGGACAGGAATCGCAGACCACAGTTACAAGACTTTTCGAAATTGTGCATTACAAATCGAACTATAGTATAAACTGTACTTGCAGCGCTAAAATGTGATCTGTCCATTAGGTGTTAGATAGAGAAATGTAGAGCATGTAAAAGAAGAATACAAATTGAGTTAAAGTAGCTCACAGAATCAAGGGATCAAATAGTTCTTCGTACTCGTACCTCGATGAATTTAATAATTGCACTTCACCGACGTGTTTGTATTCAATTAATACAGATTTTAGCCCTCAATCGATGGAGTTTCATTCTCCAATGAACTTGCGCATAGTGTATGTCAGTTCCCATGTTTTCATTCCTACTGTAGTAAGGTGTGTTGGTGTAGAATGTTATTGACTGTTACCAGCAGTCAATACACGGAACAAGTAAATAGATCGGTTAGTGAATTCCTTCCTTTCCTTCACTGGGATGGGTCATGGGGATGATACTCGATCAATAGCCTGAAGTCAAACACATCTTCCAATGTTCACAGAAACGCTGAGTACATGTGTCTAAATCATCCGAAACAACGCTTTATTTATTTTGTTCATGCCAAGAAAATCCAAGGGGTTTCCCCGGGACTGTGAGTCTTCCGTCAGTGTCTCTTCAAGAGTACAAGGACAACCTCGTGAACAACAGGACAACCACCCTACAAAGACAACCTCCCCAACAAGACAACTCCAGCCAAACCTGAGTACCCTCCTAACGTCAGCCAAGAAATATGGAGGTACCAAACCTGTGTACCCTCCTAATGTCAGTCAATTTCAGCCTCCACGTTACATAGATCGCACCCTCCGATAATAACTTGTGAATATGAGGAACTGGTGGAAGAGAGACGGAAATGGGATATATATTGTGTGGCCAGAATCTTCTTGTGAGGTGTCCATGGAATGTTGTGTCCCGGCAGGAGGAGCACCAGGAGGACATGGCAGGAGCAGCACCAGGAAGACATGGCAGGAGCAGCACGAGGAGGACATGGAAGGAGCAGCACCAGGAGGACATGGAAGGATGGATACAGAAGACGTATTTGTGAATTTGACTTTGCTGTGAACTTCAGCTCTAAACTTAATAATGAAAGAGAACATTGTCGACGACGAGATATATGGAAATCAGTAAAAAAAACAACATGATGCCGATCGATTTTCATCAAGTTCTCGAACGTGTGAGGGGTGAACTAGACACGTTGTTGAGGTTTTACTAAATAAACAATAATATACAGTAAAACTGATAACAAAATGTGTCTCTAGGATGACAATGGTGTACCATGAACTCGTTCCCGGAAACAAATCAGATATATGCCATAAGCTGACATCCATGATCAGGTTTGTGACACACTATGGAATACCATTAATTTCGAATACATGCCCAACTTTCTTCAATGTTATAACCTAGTTGATCCTACCTCACTCTTACAATACTTGAACCTAACTCACTCTTCAATCAGTTGAACATACATGTACCTCACTCCTCCATCAGTTTAACCTACCTCACTCTTACAATACTTGAACCTACCTCACTCTACCATCAGTTTAACTACCTCACTCTTCAATCAGTTGAACTACCTCACTCTTCCATCAGTTGAACTACCTCACTCTTCCATCAGTTCAAATACCTCACTCTAACATCAGTTGAACCTACCTCACTCTTACATGAGTTGAACCTACCTCACTCTTCCATCAGATCAAACCATCAGTTGAACTCCCTCACTCTTTCATTAGTTGAACCATCCTCACTCTTCCATCAGTTGAACCATCCTCACTCACCCATCAGTTGAACCTACCTCACTCTTCCATCAGTTCAACTACCTCACTGTTAGATCAGTTGAACTACCTCACACACCTCACTCTTCCATCAGTTCAACTACCTCACTCTTACATCAGTTGAACATACCTCACTCTTACATCAGTTGAACCTACCTCACTCTTCCATCAGTTGAACCTACCTCACTTTTGCATCAGTTGAACTACCTCACTCTTCCATCAGATGAACCTACCTCACTCTTCTATTAGTTGAACCTACCTCACTCTTCCATCAGTTGAACCTACCTCACTCTTCCATCAGTTGAACCTACCTCACTCTTCCATCAGTTGAACTTACCTCACTCTTCCATCAGTTGAACTTACCTCACTCTTACATCAGTTGAACTACCTCACTCTTCCATCAGTTGAACATCCTCACTCTTCCATCAGTTGAACTACCTCACTCTTCCATCAGTTGAACCATCCTCACTCTTCCATCAGTTGAACTACTCACCTCACTCTTCCATCAGTTCAACTACCTCACTCTTACATCAGTTGAACATACCTCACTCTTACATCAGTTGAACCTACCTCACTCTTCCATCAGTTGAACCTACCTCACTTTTGCATCAGTTGAACTACCTCACTCTTCCATCAGATGAACCTACCTCACTCTTCTATTAGTTGAACCTACCTCACTCTTCCATCAGTTGAACCTACCTCACTCTTCAATCAGTTGAACTTACCTCACTCTTCCATCAGTTGAACTTACCTCACTCTTACATCAGTTGAACTACCTCACTCTTCCATCAGTTGAACCTACCTCACTCTTACAATAGTTGAACAAACTTCACTCTTACAAAAGTTGAACTACCTCACTCTTCCATCAGTTGAACCATCCTCACTCTTACAATAGTTTAACGAACCTCACTCTTACAATAGTTGAACCTACCTCACTCTTCCATCAGTTGAACTTACTTCACTCTTCAATCAGTTGAACCTACTTCACTTTTGCAATAGTTGAACTACCTCACTCTTCAATCAGTTGAACCTACCTCACTCTTACAATAGTTGAACCTACCTCACTCTTACAATAGTTGAACCAACCTCACTCTTACAATAGTTGAACCTACCTCACTCTTCCATCAGTTCAACTACCTCATTCTTCCATCAGTTGAACCAGCCTCACTCTTCAATCAGTGGAACCAACCTCACTCTTCCATCCGTTGTACCTACCTTACTCTTCCATCAGTTGAACCTACCTTACTCTTCCATCAGTTGAACCAACATCACTCTACCATCAATTGAACATACCTCACTCTTCCATAAGTTGAACCTACTTCACTTTGCAATAGTTGAACTACCTCACTCTTCCATCAGTTGAACCTACCTCACTCTTTTATCAGTTGAACTACCTTACACTTCCATCAGTTCAACTATCCCACTCTTCCATCAGTTGAAGTACCTCACTCTTCAATCATTTGAACCTACCCAAATCTTCCATCAGTTGAACCTACCTCACTCTTCCATCAGTTGAACCTACCTCACTCTTCCATCAGTTGAACCTACCTCACTCTTCCATCAGTTGAACCTACCTCACTCTTTCCATCAGTTGAACCTACCTCACTCTTCCATCAGTTGAACCTACCCTCACTCTTCCATCAGTTGAACCTACACTCTTCCACAGTTGAACCACCTCAGTTTGAACTTACCTCACTCTTCCATCAGTTGAACTTACCTCACTCTTACATCAGTTCAACTACCTCACTCTTCCATGAGTTGAACCTACCTCACTCTTACAATAGTTGAACAAACCTCACTCTTACAATAGTTGAACTACCTCACTCTTCCATCAGTTGAACCATCCTCACTCTTACAATAGTTTAACAAACCTCACTCTTACAATAGTTGAACCTACCTCACTCTTCCATCAGTTGAACCTTCTTACTTCACTCTTCAATCAGTTGAACCCACCTCACTCTTACAATAGTTGAACCTACCTCACTCTTTCATCAATTGAAATAGTTGAACCTACCTCACTCTTTTCATCAGTTGAACAAACCTCACTCTTCCATCAGTTTCCTCAACTAACCTCACTCTACCATCAGTTGAACTACCTCACTCTTCCATCAGTTGAACCAACCTCACCCTTCCATCAGTTGAACCTACCTCACTCTTCCATCAGTTGAACCAACATCACTCTTCCATCAGTTGAACCAACCTCACTCCTCCGTCAGTTGAACCTACCTCACTGTTCCATCAGTTGAACTTACCTCACTCTTCCATCAGTTGAACTTCCTTACTCTTCCATCAGCTCAACTACCTGAACTACCTTACACTTCCATCAGTTCAACTACCCCACTCTTCCATCAGTTGAAGTACCTCACTCTTCAATCATTTGAACCTACCCAAATCTTCCATCAGTTGAACAAACCTCACTCTTTCATCAGTTGAACCATCCTCACTCTTCAATCAGTTGAACTACCTCACTCTACCATCAGTTGAACTACCTCACTCTTCCATCAGTTGAACCAACCTCACCCTTCCATCAGTTGAACCTACCTCACTCTTCCATCAGTTGAACCAACATCACTCTTCCATCAGTTGAACCAACCTCACTCCTCCGTCAGTTGAACCTACCTCACTGTTCCATCAGTTGAACTTACCTCACTCTTCCATCAGTTGAACTTCCTTACTCTTCCATCAGCTCAACTACCTCACTCTTTCATCAGTTCAACTACTTCACTCTTCCATCAGTTGAACCTACCTCACACTTCCACCAGTTGAACTACCTCACTCTTCCATCAGTTGAACATACCTCACTCTTTTATCAGTTGAACTACATCACTCTTCCATCAGTTGAACTACATCACTCTTCCATCAGTTGAACTACCCCACTCTTCCATTAGTTGAGCCTACCTCACTTTTGCAATAGTGGAACTACCTCACATTTCCATCAGTTGAAATTACCTCACCCGTCCATCAGTTGAACCTACATCACTCTTCCGTCAGTTGAACAACCTCATACTTTCATCAGTTTTACCTA